CGAAGGTTGATATTTTCCGTGTTGTCCTTTCCAGTAACGGTCTTTTCAAAGTCAAACAGCTAAATTATTAGAATTTTGAAAGATAAGATCGCCTTTGGATACATGTTGAAATTTCACCTTCTTAACTACAGTCTCCTTCAAATTTATTTGATCCTGTTGTTGTTCCATGCATTTGAAATTTCGACAAACATTCTAAAAGTTCATTAGTAATGGGGCTGGCTTTTTTAAAAGTTACAATGCCTTACTCTGATGAGACTGCCCGCTTCTGGGCTAATTGCACCAAGATGTATCATAAATTCTCTAGCTGCGTTTGCAAGGTCTTTATTGATACCCTGTAGAGGATCTCGGATGAAGAGCCTAGAAAACGTTTTCAATTCAAAAAACGGGTAAAATGCGTAAGCACTAAAATTGAGAAGGATACATACGTTTCATTTTTTAGGAATGTGATTTTAAAACTATCGCAAACTAGTGGCCGATGACGATTTACTTACCTTGGTACTCTAGGTAAAAATCGTCCGCCTTCTCTGATAACAGTTTGAATGATGGTTTGAATCTCGTTGAACATTGGGATATTACCACCTCTAAAAGGGTTTCTTTGTGAATCAAACTTTTCCTGAAAAGAAGTTAAATGCACTGGGTCTTCATCGTCAGTCAGTTTGAGAGTTAGATTCTAATTATTCCACAAACAGCATTTTCTTTTTAGCCTCTCAAATAAATCGTACATTTAGTACAGTGGTTCCAAAGATTAATATTCAATTAACAAGAAATGTAATTTTTATGCGACCATTTGAAGTTTAGAGCGATTCAAAACTTGCGTCACTTTTACTCATCTCTTTTATTTACTGTGGAAAAATGCGCTTAAGAATGTAATAATCTAATTAGTAGCTTTTTGTGACCTAAATATATAGAAATTACCTGCATCTAGGATGCCCAGGGAAACGTCTGCAAAATCTTCGTGCTCGTCGTCGCCATACGTGAGCCGGAGGTGGTGGTCCACGGCCCCAAGCCTACAATGGTTTTCATGCAATCATTACCTATTTATTCCATTAGGGACTCAACATAGCTATACTAATAGAACGCATGCAAAAGGTTTCTACTTCTTTTCTCTA